GGCAGGGGCACGAGGTGAAGCGGGACGACCGGGACCCCCGGGACTGCCGGGGCCGGGGGCCACGGGCGCGGTGAGCGCGGCCACCTACAGCACCGTGCCCCGCGTCGCCTTCTACGCCGGCCTCAAGAACCCCCACGAGGGCTACGAGGTCCTCAAGTTCGACGACGTGGTCACCAACCTGGGCAACAGCTACGACGCCACCACGGGCAAGTTCACCTGCGCCATCCCTGGCACCTACTTCTTCACCTACCACGTCCTCATGCGCGGCGGCGACGGGACCAGCATGTGGGCCGACCTCTGCAAGAACGGGCAGGTAAGGCCGTCAGCCCCCCCACGGGGACAGGAGCCCCCCCAGGCACTGCAGAAGGGCTCTGGGTGCTTCCCAGGGGTGTCCCGTCCTTTTCCTAGGGTGTTGATGGGCTCTGGGTGCTTCCTTAGCGTGTCCTGTCCTTTTCTCAGCCCCAGGGATGCCTCTCCAGGGGGCTCCATCCTTCTCCCAGCCCTGGAGATGCAACTCTGGGATGGTCCATCCTTCTCCCGGTGGTGATGATGGGTTCTGGGTGCACCTCTGGGATGTCACATCATTCTGGCTGTGGAGATGCAGCCCTGGGTTGCCCTGTCACTCCGTTCTTCTCTCAATCCCAGGGATGTACCCCCAAGATGCTCCATTTTTTTTCTCGGCCTCAGGGATGCACCCCCAGCATGTTCCATCCTTCTCCCGGAGGTGAAGCTGGGCTCTGGATGCATCCTTGGGGTGCCTCATCCTATTCCCATCCCCAGGGATGTATCCCAGGGCTCTCTGTCCCTCTCCCCGTGGCGCTCATGAGCTCTGGGTGCATCCCCCGCCTCCTTCTCCTGGCCGTGGAGATGCACCCCGGGCTGCTCTGTCCTGCTCCCAGTGACAGGATGGGCTCCGGGTGCATCCCTAGGGTGTCCTGTCCTGCTCCCAGCTCCGGAGATGCACCCCCAGGATGCTACATCCTTCCCCTCGTGACAATGATAGGCTTGGGGTGGGTCCCTGGAGCCCCATCCTTCCCCTGGTGACAGTGACAGGCTTGGGGTGTGTCCCTGGGGTGCCCACTCCTTCTCCTGGTGACAGTGACAGGCTTGGGGTGGGTCCTTCTGGAGCCCCATCCTTCTCTCATCCCCAGAGATGCCCCCCCCGGCTGCCCTGTTGCCCTCCCAGCGCTGGGCACACACTCCACAGCCATGGCCGTGCTGCCCTGGTGGGTCCCCAAGGGTCCCCTCAGCCCTTTCCTTGGCCCCGCTGTGCCTTTGGGGTGCCTTGGGGTGTCCCCGCAGTGTCCGCGGGGTGTCCTGCCCCCCCGGGCGATGCCATTGTCCCCACTGACACTTCCCGTGGGGGGAACACAGGGTTCTCTGCAGGGACAGTGTCCAG